AGAGAGAGAGAGAGACTGTCTGTCTGCTTAGTCGCAATACTGTAGCTTATGCAATTTAGGCCTATAAATTGTTTATGTAACTTATGTGCCTAAGCATACCGGTAGTTTCTGTGGACCTGTCTGCCCGTTTTGTGAGTGCACACACTTGTGTGACATTGACTGACTGACTGACTGACTGACTGACTGACTGACTGACTGACTGACTGACTGACTGACTGACTGACTGACTGACTAGTTGCAATACTGTAGCTTATGCAATTTAGGCCTATAAATTGTTTATGTAACTTATGTGCCTAAGCATACCGGTAGTTTCTGTGGACCTGTCTGCCCGTTTTGTGAGTGCACACACTTGTGTGACATTGTTTGGGATGACCTAATTAAAATAGCGTCCCCCCAGTAAAAAAATCCCCACTACACCACTGGTCCCGAGCCTTTGATGTCCCCAAGTCGACCGTCTGCAGACTGGTGCACACTGGAGTACAAAAAATTGCAGCCCTTCGCCAGGAGGTCATCAAACTGCCCCCCCCTGGAGAACTGGAGGAGGTTGGCCAAGAGTTTGCAAGGCTGGCCAACAGCCCAGTATTCTCCAGGTGTGTGGGGGCCATTGATGGCTGCCATGTCCGCATAAAGACCCCCCCAGGACCTCTGGGCCAGGATTACCTCAACAGAAAGCTCTTCCCATCCATACAATTGCAGGCAGTGTGTGATGGGAAGGGCTTCTTTCTCAACACCTTTGTTGGGTATCCTGGCTCAGTCCATGACACCAGAGTCCTGAAGAACAGCGCAATTTACAAACAGGCTCTGTATCCTCCCTCAGGTGACACCAAATATTCTTGTTAATACATCAAAATCCATCAATGACTTTTAGTATACTAAATATGTTCTCTCTCTTTTTAGGATTCTTCCTTTTGGGTGATGGTGGCTACCCCTGCATAGAAGGACCTGTGGCCCTCATCACCCCATATAGAGAACCACTGCAAGGGAGGGTGCAGAGCCGCTTCAACCAGCATCATGCCAGGGCTCGCTCCATCATAGAGCGGACCTTTGGCAGGATAAAAAGCAGGTGGAGATCGCTGTTCTTCAAGGCTCTGGAGGTCCACCACACCTTTGTCTCCTCAGTCATCACCGCCTGTGCAGTGCTCCATAACATCTGCCTCACAGCGGGGGACATCCTGGAGCCTGAAGAGGATGTTGGGGACATTGGTGTGGTTCCACCACGTCTGGTGAGGGGGGATCGAGGCGGACATGGCCAGCGAGACCGACTGGCAGGGCTGCTCTCTGCTCCATGTGTGCAACCAGTTGAACTACAAGAACATGATTATTTGTAGGACTTGGGGACACGAAGGCCTTGGACACCACACTGTGTGAAAAGCTGTGTGCCTTCATTTGCGGTTTATTGCATTGTGATATTTATAATTTAACAAATAAAGGAACAATGTTTTGACAAACAAAGTGTATCTCAATGGAACAATAACAACGTTGCAAAAACTTAGAAACAAAATCATTTATTTACCAATTTCTCAAATAAATCCAAAAATCTTTTTGTGTTAGCCTGATTGGCCTCAAAGCGTTCCTGCTCTCGTTGGGCCTCCTCTTTCAGAAACTCTAATAGGGCCCCCCCTACTTGCCCTCTTCTTCTTGGCAGGCGGGGGACTGAGAGAGGTGGATGGCTCTTCATCCAGTGTAGTGGTGCTGCTACTTGTGCCAGGCTGCCCAGGATCCTCCTCTTCCTCCATTGCCTGGCCACAAGGAGCAGCCCCAGCTCCACTGGATGAAGAGCCAATCCCACTGGGGGCCACGTCAGCCGAGTCCATCAGGACTGGAGGCTCCATGGAGGGCCGACTCCCAATGGCTTCATGCATCAGGGAAAACCACGACCATGTGGCTGCCGTGGCCTCCCCCGCATCTGTCCCCGTCCCTGTAGGGGGGGTTTTCAGCTCCTGAGGGAGAACAAGGAATGTATGAGTCAGATGAAGACACAATAGAAATAGCTGCATTGTATGCATCTAGAAATACAATATCTCACCTTATATTTTCTTTTCAGGTTGTCCCACTGTTTTGCCAGTTGGGTGGGAGTGAGCAACTCCTCCAACTCCATCTTCTGCAGAACCTCTCTGTGGAGTAAACCATTTCTTAAATTATAGCATCCAGGCATGCAAAGTCTGATTACTTCTGACAATATGCTTCATGCATAATAATTCCATGACCCACTCAGGTTCACTGTGGTTCATTCACAGTAGTGGTTACATTGATTATCATACCATGCACCAAAACAACATTGTCAAACAACTCATGTAGCTCACCCCCAGGCCTTCTTGGCTGTGAACCTCTTTCCTGTAAACAGGTGCTCATTGTCAGTCCTCTGTTGAATGAGGGCTCTGGTTTGGGCCTCCGTCCCTGTTTAAGGAGAATTATGTTATACATACATCAGCAAAAGGAAACCTTAAGCCATTAACATTTCACTCACATAATGCTGCATATAAATGACAGCTTAATTATTGAATTGAGCCGATTTGAATGTATTGAATTATGTATTACAAATACATTGTGACTGCCAGCCAAATGAATGATGGTACCTTAGTTACGTCTGTATGTGGCAGGTAGCCTAGTTAAATGAAGAAACAAGTGGTTTCCAACCGAAATATGTCCGATAAATAACGAATGCTGCGTGTGTATACGCACGTTATGTAGCCTATTGCAAATCTTGCCTTTAGTTGGGCATTTCACATGAACATTGTTGAGAAAATATAAAGCGTTCAATAACAGAAATATATGAGTTGTGGGTTAAATACATGTGAACAGATGTTGCATTATCGTAACGGTATCGTTGTAGGCATACAAATAACATGAAGTAATAGGTACTTACACTTGTGTAGTTTTTCTGCCGCCATGTCTTTCAAATGTGCCAGCTGCTTGCTGGAGGCAGGGCTTTTAAACCGAGTAAAATCAAGGATTCATGCCTCAGCGGTGATTGAATGGAAATGACAATAAATGAAACTGTAAAACGAAAAAAGCGATCATGAAAATGTTTCCAATAATGAATTTTTGATCACTTTTGTTC